ATTTCACTTGCAAATTATATTTGAAAATTAAATGACTATGTTGCAAGTCATTCACAAGACATTTTTAAAAATTGCATTCCAGAACCCATATTAACATCCAGTGACCTGTAGAAAGCAGTAGAGAAATGTATTAGGCAAAAAGTTCTGGCAAAGACCAGTCTGATACTGGCCTGATTACCCAACCTCAGGAATTGGCCACATCAACTCGAAGAGCGAAGAAAAATAAAAAGTACCAGATTTATTACAAGACATTAGGAACCATCCATTTAGATAGATGATTTTAGCTAACACAATATTACAACGTCATCCTGAAGAATATGTCCCTCTTCCAGAGAACCCAGGAGGTTATCATGACCCCTGGAAAGCCCGACCAGGAATAGGAGTGCAAGTGGCATAGGTGCATGAATGCAGAAATACAGTCTCTACTGAAAGTAAGTTTCATACTAGGCAAGAATTACAGGATATACATAGAACTTTTGCTCACAAAGTCAAATCAGATGTACAAATTCAATGTGGTTTAGGAGTCAATGGTGGTAAGTTCATTGTGCTTATGGGAAGTGAAGTAGGACAAATGACTGTAATAGCAAATAACTCCAGGATTAATGATGAATTAATTGCTAGAGCAGAAAATATCCAAGACCTTCCTGACTTACGATGGGGATGGGTAAAGAAGTTGGATGAGATGATACCCAAAAATGATTCCCAGCTTTACCTAAACTAAACAATGGAAGACTGTAGAAGATGCCATTAAACTATCTCAAGAATATGGAAGATTATTATTCGCTTCTGATGGGACAGGACTTTACAGGGCACCTGAAAAAATTCCCATGAAAAATCACTTTTACAAAATGTCAAGTTATGATATCCAAGATGAAACCAATGAGTCACAAAATTCACATAATACACTGTACAACCCTGATCTCCTGACTGTCATAAAATGTTTCTTACCTCTAAACCAAAGTTTCATTTTATAATTCAATTTTTCTCATTTTTTCTGTTCTCTTAGCTTAAAAAAAGATCATTAAAAACTTTTGTATGTTTTTCATATATGCTTGCAAAGGATTGTAAAACTTTATTGTGATTATTCTTGCTTTAAGCTGAAACTTCCCTAATCTTTCTTTAGAGATTGTGACATAGCATGCTAGTTTCCTTTCCATATCCAATTGTTTGCTGTAATGAATACACAAATACAGGCACTATTTTTGTAACTTTAAATAGACATCATCTCAAGTCTACAAGAATTATCCAAAATGGTATCTAATGACATTTCTAGGTCTTCAGACACTATTAACACAGATTGTAGCTCCTAGGTCCTGAAGATTTTACTAGATATTGGTTACCGAAACTGAGCTTTCTTGAATTCTTTCTCCTTCCACTGTGGTTTCCCACATTTCAACGTATCACCGATTTTTGTCCTCAAACATTACTTACATATTTTCCACAGAATTAAATTAAAAATGAATCATCCCTCCTCTGATTTTTGAAATGACCCTTTGCTTCCTATGATACTGATTCTTCTGGTCCTTTTTGTAGTTATATTTTAGAGTTTGCAAATATTCACACATGTTGCAATTGCATATACTTTTCTTTTCTTTTTTTTTGGGGGGGGACGGAGTCTCGCTCTGTCGCCCAGGCTGGAGTGCAGTGGCCGGATCTCAGCTCACTGCAAGCTCCGCCTTCCGGGTTTACCCCATTCTCCTGCCTCAGCCTCCCGAGTAGCTGGCGCCCGCCACCTCACCCAGCTAGTGTTTTGTAATTTTTCAGTAGAGACAGGGTTTCACCGTGTTAGCCAGGATGGTCTCGATCTCCTGACCTCGTGATCCACCCATCTCGGCCTCCCAAAGTGCTGGGATTACAGGCTTGAACCACCCACCGCACCCGGCCTAATTTTCTTATTAGTTATTTTTTCCTCTTCTCCTAAAGTTGCTGTTATTTCTTTTAACTTTTTGTGGGAAAAGTTAAACCCATCTTTCACTTTGTTGATACGGTTATTTGTAATTTAACGCCTTGATTTTTGCTCAAATTGCTTTTCAAGTTACCCACTTTTAGGGAAGACATTATTTGGGTTTTGTTTAGTGTATCAGGCTTTTTTTAAGTTAGTTGTATCAAGAAGTGTAGACTTTTCTATACATGATATCCTTTTCTCCACAGTAGTTTTTTTTTTTTTTTTAAGTCTGTTAAAATAAAGGTCATCAAATGATCTTTTCCTAAACCTTTCCTCTACCAGAAATATCCTTAGAGTCACATGGGCCTTTCTCCCTTCTTGCTTTTGTAGGCGTACAAAGCTAATCTGTCTCTGATCGGATTGCATGCACATGTGCCTTTTGGGGCCCTTGTGCATTCGTTCTTCCTTCTCTTCTAACCTCAAAAATGTGTTTTCTCTGTTGGCTCTTTCCCTTTAACATAGAAGTATACTCACGCTTTTGTTGAATCTTGGAATAAAAGGCTTTCTTTACCATATGTCTCCCTTTAACTACTACTACATCTCTCTTCTCAGCCAAATACTTGGGAAGAGAAGCCTTGAGTTTGTGTCGTTGTTTTCTCACCTCCAGTTCACTACTTTACCCACGGCCTGACACCCAGCTCACTCACACACACAAGCCCAATCACTAAGTTGCCATAGCTGATTTGTAGCTTTCCTGCCCTCCTGGCAAAATTTGACTCTGTGCATTGGGATAATACATGCTGAGTACCTATTGAACAGGCACTGTGCTAGGTGCTGCTGTTATAGAAATGAAAAGAAGGCATCATCTCCTTTCTAACAACTCACAGGAGCAGCCATTCCTGATTCATATGCAGGTCTCTTGACTCCCAGTGCTCACTTTTTCAGGCTGCACTTACTGCCGTGTAAATCACCCTATTCTCCAGGTCTTCTTTCTTCCCACTTCTCCTTACTGTACACAACTTCTCAAGGCAATCACCTCCATGCCCATGGCTTCAGTTGCTTTCTCCATTCTCTGACAACAATGGAATTTTAAATGTTTTGTTTCATGTCTTTGCTTTATTTTACACAAGATGCCTCATTTGCTGTAACCATAGATTCAAAGTTGCTCCATGAAAGTGATAAATGAAAAATGGTGATATTCTTAACATGTAAATTTCAGGAAGTTTCCCCAGTTACTCTTAATGGCTTGATCTAGTATGTGTGTTATTTTTGAAAGCATATGTTGGGATGCCACAAATGGACTTAGCCCACAGAGATTTATATTCAACTTTTGACCAGAGAGTTCCATTTTAATGTGACACTGAGAGTAAAAACTATCTTTTCCTCCTTACCCATTTTTCTTCCTACATTCTCTGCCAGGAGGAAGGCACCCCTATGTACCCAGTCTTCCCCAGCAGAGCCTGAGCAGGTCTGTTTTCCCTCTACTTTCCCTTTTCTTTCACATCTCATGACCAAGCACTTCCTAGTCTGTCTCCCAAATGATCACAAACTTTTTTCTCCATTTTTGTCACTGCCACTGCCCTTAGCATTACTCTGCCTTTAGACAAAGTCTCTTCATTGGTTTGGTTGCTTCCTTCAGTTCTTCCTTATTATACAGTCCACTACACACACATCTGACAGAGACTTTTCACCTTTTTATGGTTCAGTGACTGAAATTTCCAGAATAAAATTAAAACCACCCCAGCATCAAATTTGAGGTCAAATAGAGGTGGGTTTATATCCCAGGTTCATATACTGTCCAGCAGTGTGGTCTTAGAAAACGGAACTCCTTAAGCCTTTGTTTGTGCATCTGCCTACACTCACTGAGAGTTGGGACTATTTCACACATACAGTGCCTGGCATGTAGAAGGGACTTGATCAATGTTGAATGAAGGGGAGGCATTTTAAAATCCACATCAAAAAAAGTTGTTCTGTCCGGGAGCAGTGGCTCACGCCTGTAATTCCAGCACTTTGGGAGAACAAGGCAGGTGGATAACCTGAGGTAAGGAGTTCGAGATCAGCCTGACCAACATGGCGAAACTCCGTCTCTACTAAAAATACAAAATTAGCTGTGCATGGTGGCACATACTGTAATCTCAGCTACTCGGGAGTCTGAGGCAGGAGAATCACTTGAGCCTGGGAGGCGGAGGTTGCGGTGAGCCAAGATCACGCTATTTGCACTCCAGCCTGGGCAACAAGAACGAAACTCCATCTCAAAATGTGTTCAGCAAGGTTGAAGCATAAAACGTTAATAGCCAGAATCATTTTTCAATTGTATTTCTATAAATCTGCAAGACACAATCTGAAAATGAAATTAGAGAAACAATTTCACTGGGCAACAAGAGCAAAAGTTCGTCTCAAATAATAATAATAATAATCTACAATGCCACTTCCCGTCCAAGCTTGACTTCTACCTTTACATTTTGATATGGTTTGGCCATGTCATCACCCAAATCTCAGCATGAATTGTAATCCCCACAATCCTCATGTGTCAAGGGAGGGGCCTGGGGGGAGGTGACTGGATCATGGGGACAGTTTTCCTCTTGCTGTTCTTGTGGAATTCAGTGAGTCCTCATGAGATCTTACAGTGTTTTGTTTTGTTTTGTTTTGTTTTTTGGGATGGAGTCTTGCTCTGTTGCCCAGGCTGGAGTGCTATGGTGCGATATTGGTTCACTGCAGCCTCTGCCTCCTGGGTTCCAGTGATTCTCCTGCCTCAGCCTCCTGAGTAGCTGGGATTACAGGCATGTGCCACCACACCCAGCTAATTTTTGTATTTTCAGTAGAGATGGGATTTCACTACATTAGCTAGGCTGGTCTCGAACTCCTGACCTCAGTTGATCCACCTGCCTTGGCCTCCCAAAGTGCTAGAGTTACAGGTGTGAGCCACCGTGCCCAGTTGAGAATCTGATGGTTTTATACATGTTTGACAGTTGCTCCGTCACATGCTCACACTCTCTGTATGGCCACCATGTAAGTCGGACCTGGTTGCCTTTCTGCCATAATTGTACGTTTCCTGAGGCCTCCCCAGTCATGTGAAACTGTAAGTCAATTAAACCTCTTTCCTTTATAAATTATGCAACCTCAAGTATTTCTTTGTATCAGTGTGAAAACAGACTAATATGCTTTCTGATATTCATGCTTGAGGAATTGGGGGATTCAGACTACCCGGGATAAAATTGTGCCCCACCCTTAGCAGTCATGTGACCTTGGGGAGGTTACTTACCTTCTCCATCTCAACTTCTTCTGTAAAATCTGTTAAATGAGATTGTTTCTGAGGGTTAAATGTCCATAACACAGTGGGCAGATTGTTTCTGAGGGTTAAATGAGCATAACACACTGGGGACACTGTCAGGCACACACTACTTGCCAGATGTCGAGTATTCATCTTTATTGAATTAGGACTGTGGTAACCCACTTTAGACTGCAGTAACCCACTTTATGGCTCTCGATTTTGTATGACGGAATCATACTTAGTGCTTTGTTAGTAAAAGAAAGAAAATCTGAAAGTCCCTGCCATGGAAGGAAGAAATAGCGGGGAGAAAAGGGAGTTGGTAAGTTTCAGCATTTCAGAGCTTGGAGGGACGAGTTAGGTTTCTATTTTATGGAGAAGGAGGTGGAGGCAGGATGGGTCCTAAGGTGTCATTCAAGACACACAGCCATAACTCTTTACTGAGAATAGAGCTAGGGCCCCAGGGATTGCTGTGGTCGAGTTGCAGACAAAAAACAACCACTCATTGGAAGACAGGAGAGGAGTGTTTAGTTACAAAAGCAGTCAGCCATTCAGGTGTATCTACATTCAGTCAGTAAATAAAAGTTGTTCAGCTTGGTTGCTAATGGGACCCACTCTACTGAGGCTTTGTGTAGAACTCATAGAGGAAGATGGCTTCAAGCAACGAACTACCCTGTGCTTTTCTTAGGACTAAAAAGCTCAGGAAGCTGGTGATGAATGAAAACCTTAGTCCCACTGGCACTGCACGAGGGGCCAGGAGAGCAGCAGCATCATAAGCCACAGGGTGGGGCAGCCCAGGCAGGGGCATTCTGAGCTGTTGGGGAGGGGTGGCAACCAGGGTGGGGCACTGTGAACTGTCGGGGAGGGCATTGTGAAGTGTGAGGTGGGGCATTGTGTGCCACATGCCTGGGCTCCCACCTGGGCCAGTGGGCTTCAGTCTGTAGGTGACTACAGAAGGAGGAGGAGCTCCGTCTGTTCTCTCTTCAGGCAGTTGTTGTGTCTCTCAGCGCTTGTTGGGTTCAAAACCTATTAAATAAGTCGACTGGTCTCCACCCTCCCAGACAAGTCAGCTCAGGGGAGGTGGCAGGGTGCGGGCCTTGGCCCACAGCCACGGCCGGGGCCAGGGCCGGCTGTGAGGTGGGCAGGCGAGCAGCAGACAAGACCGTCTCTGCAAGTGCAGCATAGCCTTGGCCTAGGATAGCAGGAGTGCGTGGCCAAAGCTGTGAGCAGGGGCACAGGTGGTGGCAGACAGTAGAGGCGCCTTATGGGGAACATACTGACCTGTTGTGTGCGCCCCAGTGACCCTGAGTTTGACCAGCAACAGGGGTCCATGTGTCCCTCTGAATCTGAGATCTATGAGGCCAGAGCTGGGGACAGGATGGCAGGAGCTGGGAACAGAATGGCAGGAGCTGGGGACAGGATGGCAGGAGATGGGGCCGGGATGGCAGGGGCACCCATGGCTGCTGCTGTGCAGCCTGCTGAGGTGACTGTTGAAGTTGGTGAGGACCTCCACATGCACCACATCCATGACCGGGAGATGCCTGAAGGTAAGGAGGTGACGGGTGCCATCTGCCTTCTGCTTGCCTCTGGCTGCTGCTGTCCCCAAGGTCCCCTGGGAGGCATCGCCCACTTCGAGCTCCTTTCTGTCTGTAGCCAGCTTTTCTGGGAGCTGACCAGGAACAAGAGCTGGCTCTGCCTTGCATTCCCACCCCTTAGTCTTTCCCCACCAAGTCCAGCAGTTTCTTTTCGCCTCCCCTCCCAATCGCTCAGTTCTTGCTCTCTCAACTTTCTCCCAGGCTGCCATGGGACCATTTATTTATGGCTCTTCTTGTCGAATAAGCAGCAGTCGAATAAATGAGTTGATCAATTTTTACAAATGATTACATCTTTTTTTTTCTTTTCTCCCTCTATACATATAGCTTTGGAGTTTAACCCTTCTGCCAATCCAGAGGCAAGCACAATATTCCAGAGGAACTGTCAAACAGATGGTGAGACAATATTGTCTGTAGCTCTATTTATTATCCTGTGGGACTTTGCTGAGGCTTCTTTGGACTATTCTCTTCCTTTTCTCAATAAAAACTCAAATATCCCAACTTTCCAGTACCCATCTTATTTTTTCTTTGTACCTATCCAGATGGTACCTAAGTGAAGGAACCAGGTAAGTGCCTAATTGTTTCCTTTGTTAAAGTAGCCAAATCTCAGGACAGTTCATATTCAGATATTTGGGGATTTCTTACTTAAAATCAGAATGGAGGTTGCCATGGGAAAGGCTGTATGGTATTCTTAATGGGCTGCTGTAAGTCACCTTGATAGAAGCTGCTTAGTTTCTTCTAACTGTAATTTGAACACAGAAGGGGGGAAAAAAAGAGGGTGCTTAAAATAATTGTGAAAGGTGCAGAATGTCACGACCAGGGAGGCAGAAAAATGGCTGTGTGTGTGGGGGGGGGTAGGGTTTGTCAAAGAAGTTTGCCCATGAGGCTCTGATGACTTTAAAATTCTTACTTTAACACAAAATGTGTCTCCAGATTTTTTCTGGTGACTTAACAGATTTTATTTACCTCCTTTTTCTGAAAGATAGGTGAAGTTCATGGTCAAAACTTTCAAAAGACATGAAACATCAATGTAGACTTTTAATGTGTAATATAAAAATTGCAGGTTAAAATCTCCGACCTTCCCTGTAAGAGTGTTTGTTGCTGAGGCTCCCCCTTTGTCCTTTCCCCTCCTGACAATAGCATCCTGTTCAAAGATAAGAAAATTGGAGTTTTGGCCAGGCATGGTGGCTCATGCCTGTAATCCCAGCACTTTAGGAGGCCGAGGCAGGTGGATCACCTGAGGTCAGGAGTTCGAGACCAGCCTGGCCAACATGGTGAAACCCCATGTCTACTAAAAAAATACAAAAATTAGCTGGGCGTGGTGGCGCATGCTTGTAGTTCCAGCTACTCTTGAGACTGAGGCAGGAGAATTGCATGAACCCGGGAGGCAGAGGTTGCAGTGAGCAGAGATCACCCCAGTGCGCTCCAGCCTGGGTGACAGAGGAAGACCCTGTCTCACAAAAAAAAAAAAAAAAAAAAAAAAAAAGAAAGAAAGAAAAAAAGAAAGAAAGCTGGATTTTTTCAGTCTCTACACTGCTGGGAGAGGCAGGGGATGGGTGGTGGTAGAAAAGAGAAAACAGTTGATTTGCCTCTAAAATTTTGCGAAGAGATGAATCTAAGTAAAAGTAATTCTGGGTAGTAATATAGTTCTTGAATAAAAACTAAAATTTTCATGGAAAACATTGCATCACAGCGAAATTAAATCCAGTTGGTTTATTGGTTTCATTTAAATGCCAGAGATTTCATTACTGTAGAGGAAATGTCTTGTAGCTCTTCTATTTAAACTTTGGTTGGGCTCTTAATTTTTTAAGAAGTAGGATAATTAAGACTCATGATGAGTGTGACTTTGTAACTTGGAAGTACTATCTTCACTTTTCAAGATATTTAAGGATTGCTTTAGAATAAACAAATATATTATGTGAATTAATTGATTATACCTTTATACACAAAGTGTGTAAGTACTTGTGTAAACTTATCCTCTGCTTACTGATGTAAAGAAAACCTCTGAGTGATGTTACACACCAGTTGGTAGATGGGTAGTGTTGGATGAGAGCCCCAAAATGGCTCTTTATTGTCATTCTTTAGGATTACAACACAGTTTATGTATGTTTCACTTGGCCCTTTCCAATATAAATAAGGCCCGTGTATGTTCTCCCTCTGTATTGCTAATGAAGAAATGAAGACTTAGAGATATCACATGTCTGTGGAAGACAGCTACTCAACAGAACTAAGGTTCTATGTCCTCAGAATGATGTGGAAGTGACAGATATGCTGAATTTACTTTTAAAAAAATTTTAAAACTCTAGAATACATCTTATACTTTGCCTATAAAATAGACCTGTCTTTTAAAACTTACTGCCATCTTGATTTATTTTATGCAAAGTTGATTTTACACAACTCAAAGCCAACATTTACCTCTTTTTCTTCTTCTTCTTCTTCTTCTTCTTCTTCTTCTTCTTCTTCTTCTTCTTCTTCTTCTTCTTTTTTTTTGAATAAAGGTGGGTGTCACTATGTTACTCATTCTGGCTTCAAATTCCTGACCTGGGTTCAAGTGATTTTCCCATCTCAGCCTTCTGAGTAGCTGGGACTACAAGCATGTGCCATCTTGCCTGGCTCTATCTTATGTCCATACATTCATTTCAATGGATAAGAATAAAAGTAAAAGTAGTGAAATAGCCTAAATGCAGCAGTTGAGTAAACAACTTGATAAATTTTAATAAATGATTACATCTTTTTTCTTTTCTCCCTCTATACATATAGCTTTGGATTTTAACCCTTCTGCCAATCCGGAGGCAACCACAATATTCCAGAGGAACTCTCAGACAGATGGTGAGACAACATTGTTTTTTCCACCAAGAGAAAGAGTAAAAACTCTTGTTTGATCAGGTGTATTATAGGAAGTATTTAGAAAAACTCATATTGGTTTAAATTTTTCAACTTTTCACATATTCGCTTGTCTTATTTTAACATGTGATATATTTTCCTTTAGTTATCTTGTTAGTGAAAACATCTAAACTTTTTGTTTATACATTTTTGCCATCTTTTTATCAACACAATTTGTCATGTGATGGAGGAGTCATGGATTTCTCTTTATTCATAATTCTTGGCCCCTTTTCCTTTGCTCCAAAGAGTACATTTTAAAGACGAATGATAGAACTTAGGCTTCAGCTTGGTTTTCTTTTAAACAAATTACAAACATAGTTGTTATTATCAGGAATTGAATCTGTGATTTGGGTCTGCTCTCACACAGTCCTCTGACCACATTCATTTACCACATCCAAGTTTATGCTACTCAAAACTTTTAAGTTATTAACCCTTTCATTTGATGTAATGTCAATTTAAACATGCCCTACTCCTGCTTATTTTCCTTAAAGTTATCGTTAAATCCTCATGTATTTGCTAAAAAGCCATGCACAAGCAAGTTTTCCAGTTGACTTAAACAGCAAGAATACAAGTGAGGGTTCTATAATAATATGTGAAGTAATGCAGCACAGTAAAACATGGGAGTTTGTAACCTTTGTTTTTATAGTTTGAGTAGACTTTGCCCATCTTGAGTCAGTTATTTCTGATCAGAATTTGAGTTCATTTTTTACATTACTATAAAGAGATACCTAAGGCTGGGTAATTTATAACAAAAAGAGGTTTAATTGGCTTATAGATCTTCAGGCTGTACAAACATGGCTTCAACATCTGCTTCTGGAGAGGGCCTCAGCAAGCTTACAATCATGATAGAAGGCAAAGGGGAAGCAGGTTTTTCCACATGGTAAAGAGGGAGGAGAGAGGGGAAGGGGGAAGGTACCACACTCTTTTTTTTTTTTTTTTGAAATGGAGTCTTGCTCTGTTGCCCAGGCTGGAGTGCAATGGAGCAATCTTGGCTCACTACAACCTCCACCTCCCAGGTTCAAGCAATTCTCCGGCCTCAGCCTCCCGAGTAGTTGGGACTATAGGCGGGCACCATAACACCTGGCTAATTTTTGTATTTTTGGTATAGACGGGGTTTCACCATGGTGGCCAGGCTGGTCTCAAACTCCTGACCTCAGGTGATCTGCCCACTTCAGCTTCCCAAAGTGCTGGGATTACAGGCTTGAGCCACCGCACCTGGCCAGTACCACACTCTTTTAAACTACCATAATGAGAATTTGCTTATTACCATGAGGGTGGGACCAAGCCATTCATTGGGAATCCCCCACCATTACCCAAACACCTCCCACTAGGCCCTGTCTCCAACATTAAGGGTCACATGTTAACATGAGGTTTGGAGGGGGAACATATCCAACACGTATCAGAATTGTATTTCCCAGCTCCTTCCAGAGCCATTGGCTTCTCTCACCTAGAGAGCATGGAAGCGGTAAAAGAAAAGCTATTCCATGTCCTCATCTTCAGTGTAGGAACTTTGCCTACAAGGCCCTTCCAGCATCAAAGCAGAGGCAGTGTAGGAAACAAAGCATGCCCAAGTCCTCTTAGGCTTTTATTATTCTGCTTTTTTAGAAAACAAAAATGATTTTTTTGCTGCAGACACTATGTCCAATTAGGTTTATACTCATTTACAATTAAAATTTACGAAAGGCTCTGTGGCTACACCTGTAATCCCTCTTTGGAGGCCGAGTGGTGGATCATGAGTTAGGAGATCAAGACCATCCTGGCTAATGCAGTGTACCTCCTCTGCTAAATACAAAAAAAAAAAAAAAATTTTTTTTTTTTTTTTTTTTTTTTTTTTTAAATTTTTTCCCACTGTCATGTGATCCTCACCAACTCCGCCCCAATCACATTCTCCTGCCTCAGCCTCCTGAGTAGCTGGACTACAGGCGCCCACTACCGCGCCAGGCTAATTTTTGTATTTTTAGTAGAGACGGTGTTTCACCGTGGTCTCGATCTCCTGACCTTGTGATCCGCCCGCCTCGGCCTCCCAAAGTGCTAGGATTACAGGCGTGAGCCACCGCGCCCGGCCAAAAAAAAAAAAAAAATTAGCTAGGCGTGGTGGCACGTGCCTGTAGTCCCAGCTTGTCAGGAGACTGAGGCTGGAGAATCGCTTGAACCCGGGAGTCAGAGAGGTTGCAGTGAGCTGAGATCCCACCACTGCACTCCAGCCTAGGTTACACAGCGAGACTCCATCTGAAAAAAAAAAAAAAAAAAAATTAGGAATCATTACTTTCGAGTTGTGTAAAGACCCCTTTTTGTTTTGTTTTTAGTGGCACATTAGTAGATAACCACTAAGTGTGGTTCAAGATGCTTACAGGGATTCTGTTGCATCTAGAGATAGGTGCCTGGTCAGGAAGTAGTTCTTAGAGCTGTTAGCTCTTAGCTTCTGATAATTAAAGTAAGCTATGTGTAAATACCGAGTGAGAGAATACTAATGGATCATAGCTTATATATGCAACAGTTAAACCTTTTTATTAGCTAAGATTTTCATCTGGCCTAAATTTTTTGCCCTTTTCTTTTGTACATGAGGATTCCTTCACTTGCATGTAATAGAAACAAAAGGTAACGTAGATGAAAAGCTAAGTTTTTAGATTTGACTTTATGACATTAATCGTGCCAGATAATTTAAATTACAAATTATTGAAAATAGTTTTTTTAAATGTAATTTTGCCTCATTTTACATAGGAGTAATCACTAAGATGTTAACAACTACTTTTATTTTATGGTATTTGTATCAGAAGTGACCAGTTTTTTTTTTTATTCTTAGTTGTAGAAATAAGAAGAAGCAATTGTACAAACCGTGTAAGTAAACAGTCAAATAGTTAAGAAATGGATAGTTTGACATAAAAGTTGTCTCTCTTGATTTCTTTAAATTACAATGTGGACCCAGTGATGGTAGCATGGACCTCTTTTTGTGGATTTTCTAAATCTCTTCTATTTTCCTAAGTATTAAATTTATCCAGAAAAGTCTTTAGTGTGTCCACCTTTTAAGGATGTCTGATATTTAAGTTACATTTCAATAGTCTGGTTGTGGTAAAAAGATCTGCCTTAAGGCTGGGCATGGTAGCTCACGCCTGTAATCCCAGCACTTTAGGAGGCCAAGGTGGATGGATCATCTGAGGTCAGGAGTTCGAGACAACCGTGACCAACATGGTGAAATTCTGTCTCTACCAAAAATACAAAATTAGCCAGGTGTGGTGGCGCATGCCTGTAATCTCAGCTGCTCAGGAGGCTGATGCAGGAGAATCACTTGAACCTCGGAGGCAGAGGTTGCAGTGAGCCGAGATGGTGCCATTGCGCTCCAGCCTGGGCGAGAGAGTGAATCTCTGTCTCAAAAAAAAAGAAAAACTGCCTTAAATATTTAATCTTATTTTTAATGAAATAAAAATAGAATAAGTTAATGCCAGCACTGTCTACTGATTTTCTATCACAGCAGGTGAAAGCATACCTTCCTCGCTACACCATGGTCTTATGTTCCTCCCTCTGTTTCTTCCAATTGTAGCACACTTTTTCATTAAATCAGTAATATTTACATGATTATGACTCTGCAAATATTATTCACTGCTAAGTCATATGGTGTTTTCACTGTGCCTCTGCATTACATGTCCTTCATCCTGTCTCTGAAACAGTTCTGAAATCTGAGCACTTCCGCAATTCTCCTGGATCTTCCCTTTTTTCCTAGCCGATGTTAGTTTATCCATCCAAATATAGTAAGGAGCCTCTGGGTGGTCTGTTTGCTTTCACATCCATTATTTTTCAGCATGAAGTTAGTTTTCTGACTATTTGTTTGCCTATTTTCTAACAGCTGTTTTTCCCCTAAGTATTGTAGCATTTATCACATGCCTTTCAAAGATATTTTCTGTCTGTAAAAACACATTTGTTCCTTTTTTTCTTTGTAGGAGGGCAACTTTCTTTGGCCTTTTGTCATCCTAGTTCAGTATGGAGTGGCTTTCCCTAGATAGGCTCGATGTCTGCTTTTCTGTGCTATCTCCTTAAAGTCTTTTGGGATCTCACATAACTGCTCTCTTGTGTGGGATCGCCTGAGTCCCTGATTCTGTGTTTCCTTCTGTCCGGTAATCCTCTCTAGTTGTACCTGAACACATTTTCCTGGGTGGAGATATTTAGAAAGCTGGCCAGCCTTAAAATCCCTCCTCTTTGAGAGAGAGGACATCTCTAGGTTGAATCTAAATTTTATGGTTCTGAAGACGTTTTGCAGTTGTGCTGTCATTACAGTGTTGTTCTTGAATCTATTGCCAGTGTGTGATACACTATTTACAACCAGGTTTTAGGTATCTGCAGAAGCTTTTTAGGATCTTCTCTATCTCTTAGGTTCTGAAATTTTATAACACCTGGGTGGGAGCAGGGCACAGTGGCTCATGCCCGTAATCCCAGCGCTTTGGGAGGCTGTGGTGGGTGGATCACAAGGACAGGAGTTCGAGACAAGTCTGGCCAATACAGTGAAACCCCATCTCTACTAAAAATACAAAAGCTAACAAGGAGTGGTGGCGTGCACCTGTAGTCCCAACTGCTTGGGAGACTGAGGCAGGAGAATCACTTGAACCGAGGAGGCGGAGGTTGCAGTGAGCCCAGATTGCTCCACTGCACTCCAGCCTGGACAATAGAGTGAGACTCCATCTCAAAAAAAAAAAAAAAAACAGTCACAGCTTGGTGGGGATCTTCTCATTTTATTGAGGCTACTAAACCTGCAGACTATCTCTTCTTGAGAATTTTTTTATGTTCCGTTACTTTTTTATCGATAGTCTTGTTATTCAGATGCTAGGCTGCTTAGACCACTATACAGACATTGGTTTTTAATTTTTCCCCTTCTATTTTTTTCAGTTTGTCTTTTTATTCCACTTCTGGGATATTCTGTCATTTTATCCTCTACATTTTTATTGAATTTTATATTTTTGAGAGTATTTTAATATTTTTTTAAAGTTTTGCTCCTGATTTTGACTGGTCTCATGAATTCCTTTTTTCTGTTGTTTTGATCTCTTTTGTTGGAGGCTTCCCTCCAATGTGTGGTGGTCCCTGGTCTGCTTTATTTGGAAGCAGGACTTCTGTTAACTGATAGCGCTCAGTGTGAGGTTTTTCTGGCTCAGAGATACCATGGCCTAAACCTGGGATATATGGTTTGGGATGGGAATTGTGTTGAATTTGTGATTGCTTTTGGCAGTATGGTCCTTCTCACAATATTCATTCTACCGATTCATGAGCATAGGATGTCTTTCCATTTGTTTGTGTCCATGATTTCGTTCAACTATGTTTTGTAGTTCAAAGGGCATATCAAAAAAATAATCCAACCTGGCGCAGTAGCTCCCGCCTGTAATCCCAGCACTTTAGGAGGCCGAGGCGGGTGGATCACGAGGTCAGGAGTTTAAGACCAGCCTGGCCAACATGGTGAAACCCTGTCTCTACTAAAAATACAAAAATTAGCTGGGTATGGTGGTGCATGCCTGTAATCACAGCTACTCAGGAGGCTGAGGCAGGAGAATTGCTTGAACCTGGGAGGTGGAGGTTGCAGTGAGTCAAGATTACACCACTGCACATTCCAGCCTGGGTGACAGAGCAAGACTCCATCTCAAAATAATAATAATATTAATCCACCATGATCAAATGGGTTTCATACCAGGGATGCAGGGATGGATTAACACACACAAGTCAATGAATGTAATACACCACATAAACAGAATTAAAAAAAAAAATCACATGATCGTCTCAATAGACACAGAAAAAGCATTTGACAGAATGCAGCATCCTTCTATGATTAAAACCCTCAGCAAGATCGGCATACAAGGGCCATACCTCAATGTAATAGCCATCTATGACAAACCCACAGCCAACATAATACTGAATGGGGAAAATTTGAAAGCATTTCCCCCTGAGAACTGGAACAAGACAAGGATGCCCACTCTCACCATTTATTTTTTTATTTTATTTTATTTTATTTTCAAACATAGACTTTACTAAATGCTGCTCAATCCCCCAGTGAAGATCTTTCATTACAAAACAATTTTCCACACACCTGCAAGTTAAGAGGTTGGAATGGTACTCTGATAACAAAAGATGTGAGAAATACTTCACCAAGTAAAAACATAGAAGACCTCTATGTAGTCAACCTTTTCAGAGCTCTACAGAGGAAGCCTACTGCATTTCCTTTAAATAAAGCCAGGCAGTGACAACTAGTGCTCTGTATCACCACACTGTGGGACTCAAAGCCTCCATCCCTAGGTCAGGAGGGACTAGGTGAAGGGCAGGTCGTGAGGACTGGAAAGGCCCTGCCTTCAGCCTTTGAGAGGAGGAGGAGGAATGAGTTGAGAGGCAAGCTGGGTAATTCACCTGAGCTGCCTCTACCCATCCGTTACCACTCTGGGGAATTGCAGAGGAAGGGGGATATTCATGAGGAACAATCTGAAGAATTTTGGTTTACTTTCCCAGCTTTTATTTATATTTTGTGCTTTAAAAAGCCTGGAGATTTAAGGTTTTGTCTAAATTCCAGAGTACAGTAATATATTTCTTGAGGAAGGGGTTAGGGCAGGTAATTCCCCCCATCACATTTTTCTTGGTTAAAATGTGAAATGACAAAGCACTAAGATATTTCTTACACTCCATGAACTGCCTGAGTGCGGTATCATGTGCACTCTACAGAAAACCCATTGGAGGCTCTTAACTTCCAGAGACGATGTTTAAGATGCGGGTTATAAAATGCTGCCCTTCATATGGTACTTCATATTTCTGGGTGAGACATATTTCTGGGTGAGACAAAGAGAAGGGTAAGGATGATACCTTAGTTTTATTTTAGGAAGTATTCTTTTTCCTAGGATGTAACTAAGGTTTGCAGCAGTCACTCTCACCACTTCTATTCAACATAGTACTGGAAGGTCTAGCCAGAGCAATCACACAAGAGAAAGCAATAAAAGGCATCCAGATCAGTAAAGAGGAAGTCAAACTGTTGCTGTTTGCTGATGATATGATCATATACCTGGGAAACCCTAAAGACTCTTCCCAAAAGCTCCTAGAACTGATAAATGAATTCAGGAAAGTTTCAGGAGACAAAATTAATGTACACAAATCAGTAGCTGTGTTATACCCCACCAGCAACCAAGCTTAGAATCAAACCAAAAACTCAACCCCTTTTATGATAGCTGCAAAAATAAAATAAAATAAAATACTTAGGAATAGACCTAACCACGGAGGTGAAAGACCTCTATAAGGAAGACAACATTAGTATTTTTAATGGGTTAAAATGAGAGGCAGCAGGTACAGTGGAAGAAATCAGTGGGTGGGCCTCGGCGTCCAACAGGTACTGGACCTTTGATGGTAAGGCTTTTTTTTTTTTTTTTTTTTTGGCTTACTAAGTTACTAGGTACTATTATTTTCTAGTTTTTGTCACTAAACCTTAAAACTACTAAGTAACCGCTTCCATTTATTGTTGAAGAGCATAAAATTTCATACTCTAATTTATGCTGACTGATGTTAGATTATTTGTTTCTATTTTGTGACTACCTTAAATAATACCTATAAATAATAAACTGTTAGTAATGTTTTTGCTGTAATTGAATGTAGTAAGATTTATCTTCCAAATGATAACCGAATTGTCAAACACTTGTCAGAGTTTTGGATTTACTCAGAATTCTATGCTTAGCAGCTGGACGTAGGAAGAGTAGGGCCCTCCCTTACTGTTATGGAGAGGCATACTTTCTCGTGAGGGGAATACTCTGCAAGAATTTGTATCTTGTTAGCAGTGGTGACTTCAACTAACTAGTGCACAAAAAAACATGTATTGGTGAGGCTGCCAACAAAGAGATCCAAGAGGGTAGATGGAGTCGAGCTTGCTGAAACAAGGAAAGAGAAAAGCAGTATTCTAGGCAGAGAGCAGGGGTAGAGCAGGAAAATGGCTAGGTGCAGGTCAGATGATTTATAGAATGAAATTAATCAAGTTTTGAAATGAATGGAAAATATTCTCTGAGAGTCTTGTTTGAGTCATGTCATGGCAGTCTTATTTAAACATGAAGTGAAAGTTAGCTTTTTAAGTTGTCATGTGTTTTCAGGGTGTGAGAGAATATTTAAGTGATACTCTTTTTATCCTCCACATAAGAAAATAGGACTAGAGAAACCTATGGCTTCCTCGCTTGTTGGTGGCCTAGCAGCCCTGGCACACAGAGCCTCTGAATCTGAAACACTTGTTTTGTCCCAATATCACCTGAAATAATACATTTAGGATGAGTAATTTAGTAAATGCATTAGTCTTGTATTCACTGCAATAAAATGCTCTTGTACCAGTATTATTTAATGCATTACATTTTATCATAGTAAATAAATCATAGAAATAGAAATTCTCAGCTGCTTTATATTGCTGTAGAAAAAAAACAATGAAATCTTATTTTAAACTTTTCTCATGATTTTTAAAGGGAATTCATAAAATCCTTGTTAGGTTTGATGGCAGGTACCATATGAAGGGCAGCATTTTATAACCCGTATCTTAAACATCGTCTCTGGAAGTTAAGAGCCTCCAATGGGTTTTCTGTAGAGTGCACATGATACCGCACTCAGGCAGTTCATGGAGTGTAAGAAATATCTTAGTGCTTTGTCATTTCACATTTTAACCAAGAAAAAAATACACTTTGATAAGTTTAGCTTATACTTCCCTTCCCCTTCAGGTATCTACTGTGCATTTCAGTCAACAATACAGCTCATGTTCGACAATATTCCTTGATGACAGCACAGCCAGCCAGCCTTATCTTACAATGACAATAATATCGTGAGTACAACTATACTGCCAAGGGATGGATTCCTTTATTCTAAAATTATTTCAGCCATTTGGTTGTCCTCTTCCACAATCAGTTTAAGAAATTAGAATCAACTATATATTGATACCCAGATTCTAAATATTAAGTATTAATTTCTCTTTTAATCTTAGACGTTGTGGTGGAAGGAAAAAATCAGTTAGCAGAGAAGCAATCCCAGAAACAGTGTATCTTTTTGATGCCTGTTTGCCTTTAGACAATGTTGAGCACAGTGAGAAGGATAGGTTCCCTTTATTGAATGTTTTTTGTGAAAACTTAGTGTTTCAATGCATTATAGGCCTAAATCAGTGTGCACTACTTTGGACATTAGCCTTGGAAGAAGGAACAGCTTTTCCTCTTCTGGCACCACAGTGTATCTGCATTTGAATTTCTCCCATTGTGCATGAGCACCTCGTGGGCCACAAAGATGCGCTTTGAGAGCACCCTGAGTTGAAGTTTATTTTAAAAGGAACAACCAACACCAGCACCAGCTACATAGGGGCTGTCCAGTGTACATTATTATCATCTCCTTGGGATAGGAGTGTTGATTTTCAGAACACAGTTTGGAAAGTGCTAATTTATTAGAACAGAGTTTGGAAAGTGCTGATTTAGATTATTAATGTCTTTAATTTTACTTTTCATTCTGTAAACATAACTAGCTTATAAACAATTTTGTTTCAAATGCACTAGCCTTTTTAGCGAATTCAATTGTCAGTAACTTTTACTGCAATTAAAAATGGCAAGTTTACACTCATAATAATGTCACTTTTCTCCCTCCATTTCAACAATAGTTGTGATGAAATTGTGTTTCAGCAAAAACTGGACTCAAACTCTGTCTCAAGTCCTGAGCTTTGGGACCTATTGAGTAATCACTAAATGTCTGTAGTCAGCTGAGTCTCTTAAATCTTTGAGCACCCATACACAAAAACTGCTTTACCTAGAGTCCCTGGCTTCTTTTGAGTTCAAAAGATTTTGATGTGTTAGCATACAATTCAAAAGTAGCTTTGAAGATTAATCTTGCTCAAATTTCATGCTTTTTTTCTCATTATTCTACTTTGTAGAAGTCTACTTTTGAAATTAAGTAACTTTTAATTTGCCATCAGCAAGTCTGAGAAATAATCATTTGGTATATTCACTATTGGTGAAATAAAGGTTTATTGAGCAAATTAATAGGGCAAATTGGCTTCAAGAAAAGATTTTGAAAAATGTTTATCACAAGTCAGTAGTGCAGTGTTGTCAGTGGGATAGGTGGAACTCACTGAGATCACTTATGCAAGGTTTTTTTTTTTTTTTTTTTTTCCAAAATACAGGTCTGCAAACACACGTATCTTCCCATCTTCACTTTCCCTCTATCTCTAGGACTGAGAAGGCTTTTAGGAAAATAGGGATGGATGTGAGGCATCTCTATGTGAAGAAAGGCATCCCAGAAGATTCTGATTTTCACCCCAGCTCAATCATTCCAAACTTTGCTGCACGTTGAAATCACCTGGGAAACTTTTACCAACGACCTTGATGCCCAAACTCATACCCAACACTAATTAAATTAAAATGTCTCATGTTGAAGATGAAGCCGTTATTAGAGCTTCTCAGGTGATTTCAATGTGCAGCAAAGTTTGAGAGCCACGGCTTCATTTGAGTTTAGGATGAGAAACTGCTCCTATTTGGTGGGATTTTGGGCAAGTCAGTTTTAAGGTTTGTTTCCCTGATTTGTGAAATGAGTGTTGAATTAAAGGTCATGTAAGGTCATTGGTCCTTTCCAGCATGTAACTTTAAATTCCATGATTGTGAAATTATTTCAGGGATAAAAACTACTTGAAGCACTGTAGACATATATCCATCTTACATGCTAATGTTTCAGGCGTTTTAACAAGTGCTAATATTGTGTAGACCTATTAACTAAAATTGAGATTTTCCTTCCCTCAGTTGTTTTGAGCCCTATTCTACAAAATCAGCTGGGTGCAGTTGCGCATTGCTGTAATCCCAAATACTCGGGAGGCTGAGGCAGGAGAATTGCTTGAACCCAGGAGGAAGAGGTTGTGGTGAGCTGAGATCATCACCATTGCACTCCAGCCTGGGCAACAAGAGCAAGACTCTATCTCAAAAAAAAAAAAATTACCTAGGCATAGTGGTACAAACCTGTAATCCCAGCTACTTGGGAGGCTGAGGCATGAGAATCACTTGAACCTGGGAGGTGGAGGTTGTGGTGAGCCAAGATCGCACCACTGCATCGAGTCTGAGCAACAGAGCGAGACTCTAAGTCAAAAAATAAATAAATACATAAAATAAATCACATGGGATGAAAGGCTTTGCGGGTAGAAGAGCATATAACAGGGAAATCTGTTATTATTTATATATTATAATCGTTAACAGAAACGCGTCTTCTAACAGCATATTGCCTCGCATTTTGGTTCTCATATTTTTGCAAAAACCTAAGAAATGAAACAAAGTGCCCTTATGGTGCTGTTCTGAACTAGAAGATTTGAATTTCAGGGCCGCTAGGAGAGTTTCCTCTGCCCCCATTTTAAAAAGTGTCTTCAGGCCTAACAAATGATAATATCTATTGTTATGAATTGTTTTTCCTTCCACAGAGTGACTTTGGAGATACATCATGATATCACGCAAAGGTGAGCTTTTTAGAAACCTGTCTTGTTATTCCAGCTAATTACTTTGCAAGATACCAAGCTCAGTGTTAGGTCACAGCTCTAGACATCATAAGCTGTATTGTGCCTGCTAAAATATTGAAGCAAATTATTTGTGTTTTCTTTGTTCCTTAAGACTCTCTTAATTTTTAAATGATTGAGAATCTCAAAGAGTATGTGTTTATATTGATTATATTGATATTTACTGTGGTAGAAATATAACATTGAGTTTTTTTTCAAAATCTATTTTTAGTTTAGATTTCACAGCCTTACCACTGTTGATATTATGAGCTAGATAATGCTTTGTTGTGAGGACTGTCCTGTGCATTGCAGAGAGTTTGGCAGCATTCATGGCCACTACCAACTAGATGTCAGTAGTAACCCATGGCCCAGGTTGTGACAACAGAAAATATTCCTAGAGAACAATATTGTTAACAGAAATTTTTCATCGAAAAAGTAACTTTTCTACAACAAAAAGTGGAGTAAAAAGTGTGTCATGTATTTATATTATTTAAAGTCTCATGTTGACCTTCATAGAAGACAATTGGATTCTCTAGATCTTTCTTTGCAATTTGCTCTAAAGAAGCAATAAGAGACCGGGCGGGGTGGCTCAGGCCTGTAATCCCAGCACTTTGGGAGGCCAACGCGGGTGGATCGCAAGGTCAGGAAATCGAGACCATCCCGGCTAACACTGTGAAACCTGTCTCTACTAAAAATACAAAAACTTAGCTGGGCATGGTGGCACGTGCCTGTAGTCCCAGCTACTCTGGAGGCTGAGGCAGGAGAACCACTTGAATCAGGGAGACGGAGGGTGCAGTGAGCCGAGATCACGCCACTGCATTCCAGCTTGGGTGACAGAGCAAGACTCCATCTCCAAAAAAAAAAATAAATAAATAAATAAATAAAAAGTAATAAGACTGCTGGGTGCGGTGGTTCACACCTGTAATCCCAGCACTTTGGGAGGCTGAGGTGGGCAGATCACTTGAGGTCAGGAGTTTGAGACCAGTCCGATCAACATGGTGAAACCCGCCTCCACTGAAAGTACAAAAAATAGCTGGGCGCAGTGGTGCATGCCTGTAGTCCCAGCTACTTGGGTGGCTGAGGTAGGAGAATCCCATGAACCCAGGAGGCGGAGTTTGCAATGAGCTGAGATCTCACCATTGCAGCCCAGCCCGGGTGACAGAGGGAGACTCCGTCTCAAAAAAAAGAAAATAAGAAGCAATAAAGTGACTTAACCTCATGCAAATATGTAGTTGGTAAAAGGGGTATTTTTAAAGTTTTCAGACAGTTGTGGGTATTCTTTAATAATAAATCAAAACTTCACAAGTGCTAGTTTCTTAAATTAGTCATGGTGGCATTTTCCATATTAATAAATTTATTCCATCAGTACTCATTGATCTTTCTTGCACAGTAAATGGATCTTTTGCCCCATACTTGCATTTATAATATTATGCATTAATTACTTGGCATATATTGGTTTATGTTTTATTGTGTCAAAAATCACTTTTAATTTAACCACCAATCTTTAAAACACTTTTAAGAATTGAAAAGCTGTCAAGCCTACAGTAGAAGGAACAAGTTTTTCTTTTCTTTCCTTTTTCATTTTTTTTTTTTTAAATTATACTTTAAGTTCTAGGGTACATGTGCACAGTGTGTGGGTTTGTTACATATGTATACATGTGCCATGTTGGTGTGCTGCACCCATTAACTCATCATTTACATTAGGTATATCTCCTAATGCTATCCCTCCCTCCTCCCCCCACCCTACAATAGGCCCCAGAGTGTGATGTTCCCTTTCCGTGTCCAAGTCATCTCATTGTTCAATTCCCACCTATGAGTGAGAACATGCAGTGTTTGGTTTGCTGTTCTTGCCATAGTTTGCTGAGAATGATGGTTTCCAGCTGCATCCATGTCCCTACAAAGGACACAAACTCATTCTTTTTTCTGGCTGCATAGTATTCCATGGTGTATATGTGCCACATTTTCTTAATCCAGTCTGTCACTGATGGACATTTGGGTTGATTCCAAGTCTTTGCTATTATGAATAGTGCCGCAATAAACATATGTGTGCATGTGTCTTTATAGCAGCAAGATTTATAATCCTTTGGGTATATACCCAGTAATGGGATGGCTGGGTCATATGGTATTTGTAGTTCTAGATCCTTGAGGAATCGCCATACTGTTTTCCACAATGGTTGAACCAGTTTACAATCCCACCAACAGTGTTTCCTGACTTTTTAATGATCACCATTCTAACTGGTATGAGATGGTATCTCATTGTGGTTTTGATTTGCATTCCTCTGATGGCCAGTGATAACGAGCAGTTTTTCATGTGTCTGTTGGCTGTATGAATGTCTTCTTTTGAGAAGTGTCTGTTCATATCCTTTGCCCACTTTTTGATGGGGTTGTTTGTTTTTTTCTTGTAAATTTGTTTGAGTTCTTTGTAGGTTCTGGATATTAGCCCTTTGTCAGATGAGTAGATTGCACAAATTTTCTCCCATTCTGTAGGTTGCCTGTTCACTCTGATGATAGTTTCTTTTGCTGTGCAGATGCTCTTTAGTTTAATTAGATCCCATTTGTCAATTTTGGCTTTTGTTGCCATTGCTTTTGGTGTTTAGACATGAAGTCCTTGTCCATGCCTATGTCCTGAATGGTATTACCTAGGTTTTCTTTTAGGGTTTTTATGGTTTTAGGTCTAACATTTAAGTCTCTAATCCATCTTGAATTAATTTTCGTATAAGGAGTAAGGAAAGGATCTAGTTTCAGCTTTCTACTTATGGTTAGCCAATTTTCCCAGCACCATTTATTAAATAGGGAATCCTTTCCCCATTTCTTGTTTTTTGTCAGGTTTGTCAAAGATCAGATGGCTGTAGATGTGTGGTATTATTTCTGAGGGCTCTGTTCTGTTTCATTGGTCTATATCTCTGTTTCGGTACCAGTACCATGCTGTTTTGGTTACTGTACCCTTGTAGTATAGTTTGAAGTCAGGTTGTGTGATGCCTCCAGGTTTGTTCTTTTGGCTTAGGATTGTCTTGGCAATGCGGGGTCTTTTTTGGTTGCATAGGAACTTTAAAGCAGTTTTTTCCAATTCTGCGAAGAAACTCATTGTTAGCTTAATGGGGATGGCATTGAATCTATAAATTACCTTGGGCAGTATGGCCATTTTCATGATATTGATTCTTCCTATCCATGAACAAGATGTGTTCTTCCATTTGTTTGTGCCCTCTTTTATTTCACTGAGCGGTGGTTTGTAGTTCTCCTTGAAGAGGTCCTTTACATCCCTTGTAAGTTGGATTCCTAGGTATTTTATTCTCTTTGAAGCTATTGTGAATGGGAGTTCGTGATTTGGCTCTCTGTTTGTCTATTACAGGTGTATAAGAATGCTTGTGATTTTGGCACATTGAATTTGTATCCTGAGACTTTACTGAAGGTGTTTATCAGCTTAAGGAGATTTTGGGCTGAGATGATGGGGTTTTCTAAATATACAATCATGTCATCTGCAAACAGGGAAAATTTGACTTCTTCTTTTCCTAACTGAATATGCTTTATTTCTTTGTCTTGCCTTATTGCCCTAACCAGAACTTCCAACACTATGTTGAATAGGAGTGGTGAGAGAGGGCATCCCTGTCTTGTGCCAGTTTTCAAAGGGAATGCTTCCAGTTTTTGTCCATTTAGTATGATATTGGCTGTGGGTTTGTCATAAATAGCTCTTATTATTTTGAGATACATTCCATCAATACCAAATTTATTGAGATAATCATGTGTTTTTTTCTTTGGTTCTGTTTATATGCTGGATTATGTTTATTAATTTCCATATGTTGAACCAGCCTTGCATCCCAGGGATGAAGCCCACTCGATCATGGTGGGTAAGCTTTTTGATGTGCTACTGGATTCGGTTTGCCAGTATTTTATTGAAGATTTTTGCATCGATGTTCATCAGGGATATTGGTCTAAAATTCTCTTTTTTTGTTGTGTCTCTGGCAGGCTTTGGTATCAGGATGATGTTGGCCTCATAAAATGAGTTAGGGAGGATTCCCTCTTTTTCTCTAGATTGGAATAGTTTCAAAAGGAATGGTACCAGCTCCTCCTTGTACCGCTGGTAGAATTTGGCTGTGAATCCATCTGCTCCCAGACTTTTTTTGGTTGGTAGGCTATTAATTATTGCCTCAATTTCAGAGCCTGCTATTGGTCTATTCAGGGATTCAACTTCTTCCTGGTTTAGTCTTGGGAGAGTGTAAGTGTCCAGGAAATTATCCATTTCTTCTAGGCTTTCTAGTTTATTTGCATAGAGGTGTTTATAGCATTCTCTGATGGTAGTTTGTATTTCTGTGGAGTCGGTGGTGATATCCCCTTTATCATTTTTTATTGCGTCTATTTGATTCTTCTCTCTTTTCTTCTTTATTAGTCTTGCTAGCAGTCTATCACTTTTGTTGATCTCTTCAAAAAACCAGCTCCTGGATTCATTGATTTTTTGGAGGGTTTTTTGTGTCTCTATCTCCTTCACTTCTGCTCTGATCTTAGTTATTTCTTGCCTTCTGCTAGCTTTTGAATGTGTTTGCTCTTCCTTCTCTAGTTCTTTTAATTGTGATGTTAGGGTGTCAATTTTAGATCTTTCCTGATTTCTCTTGTGGGCATTTAGTGCTATAAAGTTCCCTCTATGCACTGCTTTAAATGTGTCCCAGAGATTCTGGTATGTTGTATCTTTGTTCTCATTGGTTTCAAAGAACATATTTATTTCTGCCTTCATTTCATTATGTACCCAGTAGTCATTCAGGAGCAGGTTGTTCAGTTTCCATGTAGTTGAGCGGTTTTGAGTGAGTTTCTTAGTCGTGAGTTCTAGTTTGATTGCACTGTGGTCTGAGAGACAGTTTGTTATAATTTCTGTTCTTTTACATTTGCTGAGGAGTGCTTTATTTCCAACTATGTGGTCAATTTTGGAATAAGTGCGATGTGGTGCTGAGAAGAATGTATATTCTGTTGATTTGGGGTGGAGAGTTCTGTAGATGTCTATTAGGTCTGCTTGGTGCAGAGTTGAGTTCAATTCCTGGGTATCCTTGTTAACTTTCTGTCTCATTGATCTGTCTAATGTTGACAGTGGGGTGTTAAAGTCTCCCATTATTATTGTATGGGAATCTAAGTCTCTTTGTAAGTCTCTAAGGACTTGCTTTATGAATCTGGGTGCTCCTGTATTGGGTGCATATATATTTAGGATAGTTAGCTCTTCCTGATGAATTGATCCCTTTACCATTATGTAATGGCCTTCTTTGTCTCTTTTGATTTTTGATGGTTTAAAGTCTGTTTTGTCAGCAACTAGGATTGCAACCCCTGCTTTTTTTGTTTGTTTGTTTTCCATTTGCTTGGTAGATCTTCCTCCTTCCTTTTATTTTGAGCCTATGTGTGTCTCTGCACAGGATACGGGTCTCCTGAATACAGCAAACTGATGGGTCTTGACTCTTCATCCAATTTTCCAGTCTGTGTCTTTTAATGGGACCATTTAGTCCATTTACATTTAAGGTTAATATTGTTATGTGTGAACTTGATCCTGTCATTATGATATTAGCTGGTTATTTTGCTTGTTAGTTGATTCAGTTTCTTCCTAGCATCAATGGTCTTTACATTTTGGCATGTTTTTGCAATGGCTGGTATCAGTTGTTCCTTTCTATGTTTAGTGCTTCCTTCAGGATCTCTGGTAGGGCAGGCCTGGTGGTGAGAAAATACCTAAGCATTTGCTTGTCTGTAAACGATTTTATTTCTCCCTCACTGATGAAACTTAGTTTGGCTGGATATGAAATTCTGGGTTGAAAATTCTTTTCTTTAAGAATGTTGTACATTGGCCCCCACTGTCTTCTGGCTTGGAGAGTTTCTGCCGAGACATCTGCTGTTAGTCTGATGAGCTTCCCTTTGTGGGTAACCCGACCTTTCTCTCTGGCTGCCCTTAACATTTTTTCTTCATTTCGATTTTGGTGAATCTGACAATTATGTGTCTTGGAGTTGCTCTTCTCGAGGAGTATCTTTGTGGCGTTCTCTGTATTTCCTGAATTTGAATGTTGGCCTGCCTTACTAGGTTGGGGAAGTTCTCCTGGATGATATCCTGCAGAGTGTTTTCCAACTTGGTTCCATTTTGCTGTCACTTTCAGGCACACCAATCAGATGTAGATTTGGTCTTTTCACATAATGCCACATTTCTTGGAGGCTTTATTTCTTTTTACTCGTTTTTCTCTACACTTTTCTTCTTCCTTCATTTCATTCATTTGATCTTCAATCACTGATACTCTTTCTTCCAATTGATTGAGTTGGTTACTTAAGCTTGTGCATTTGTCATGTAGTTCTCGTGTCATGGTTTTCACCTCTATCAGTTCGTTTATGGTCTTCTCTGCATTGATTATTGTAGTTTTCCGTTTTTCCATTCTTTTTTCAAGGTTTTTAGTTTCTTTGCACTGGGTACGTAGTTCCTCCTTTAGCTTTGAAAAGTTTGATCAACTGAAGCCTTCTTCTCTCAACTCGTCAAAGTCATTCTCCATCCAGCTTTGTTCCGTTGCTGGCGATGAGCTGCCTTCCTTTGGAGGGGGAGATGCACTCTGATTTTTTTGAATTTCCAGCTTTTCTGCACTGCTTTTTCCCCATCTTTGTGGTTTTATCTGCCTTTGGTCTTTGTTGATGGTGACGTACCTGGGAGTTTTGGTGTGGGTGTCCTTTCTATTTGTTAGTTTTCCTTCTAACAGTAAGGACCCTCAGCTGCAGGTCTGTTGAAGTTTGCTTGAGGTCCACTCCAGACCCTGTTTGCCTGGGTATCAGCAGCGGAGGTTGCAGAAGATAGAATATTGCTGAACAGCGAGTGTGGCTGTCTGATTCTTGCTCTGGAAGCTTTGTCTCAGAGGTGTGCCCAGACGTGTGAGGTGTGACATGTTGGTCTGCACTTTAGTGGGCGATGTCTCCAGTTAGGCTAGTCAGGGGTCAGGGGCCCACTTGAGCAGGCAGTCTGTCCATTCTCAGATTTCAACCTCTGTGCTGGGAGAACCACTGCTCTCTTCAAAGCTGTCAGACAGAGACATTTACATCTGCAGAGGTTTCTACTGCTTTTATTTAGCTATTCCCTGTCCCCAGAGGTGGAGTCTACAGAGCCAGGCAGGCCTCCTTGAGCTGTGGTGGGCTCCACCCAATTCGAGCTTCCAGGAGGCTTTGTTTACCTACTTAAGCCTCAGCAATGGTGGGTGCCCCTCCCCCAGCCTCACTGCCGCCTTGCAGTTAGATCTTAGACTGCTGTGCTAGCAATGAGGGAGGCTCCGTGGGCATGGGACCCTCCAGGCCAGGTGTGGGATATAATCTCCTGGTGTTCCGTTTGCTAAGACCCTTGGTAGAGCGCAGTATTAGGGTGGGAGTTACCCAATTTTCTAGGTGTTGTGTGTCTCAATTTCCCTTGGCTAGGAAAAGGAATTCCCTTCCCCTTTGCGCTTCCCAGGTGAGGCAATGCCTCACCCTGCTTCAGCTCTTGCTGGTCAGGCTGCACCCGCGGACCAGCATCAACTGTCTGACATGCCCCAGTGAGATGAACCCAGTACCTCAGTTGAAAATACAGAAATCACCCGCCTTCTGTGTCACTCACACTAGGAGCTGGAGGCTGGAGTTGTTCCTATTGGGCCATCTTGGGTGCCCCCCCTTCTTATTTTTTTTTTTTTTCTGAGATGGAGTCTTGCTCCGTCGCCCAGGCTGGAGTGCAGTGGCACGATCTCGGCTCACTGCACCCTCCATCTCCCTGATTCGAGTGGTTCTCCTCTCTCAGCCTCCAGAGTAGCTGGGACTATAGGGATATGCCACCACACCCGGCTAATTTTTTGTATTTTTAGTGGAGATGGGGTTTCACTGTGTTAGCCAGGATGGTCTCGATCTCCTGAACTTTTGATCTGCCCCTCTCAGACTCCCAAAGTGCTGGGATTACAGGCATGAGCCAACATGCCCGGCAGAAGGAACAAGTTTTTCAAAGTCCTCAGGAAAGCCTAAATTTTATCATTGGGAACAAATACTTATTTTCCTTGAAGTGACAACCTCTCACTTCATTTATTTTTGAGAATGAAAGTTGTACTTTTTTTTTAGACCGAGTCTCACTCTGTCACTTGGCTGGAGTGCATTGGCATCATCTCAGCTCAAGCAATCCTCTCACATCGGACTCCCCTGTAGCTGGGACCACAGATGTGTGACACCACACCAGGCTAATTCTTTTTTGCATTTTTGGTAGTGACAGGGTTTTGTTATGTTGCCTAGGCTGGTCTCAAACTCCTGCAGGAGCTCAAGCCATCTGCCTGCTTTCACTTCCCAAAGTGCTGGGATTTTACAGGAGTGAGCCACTACGCTGACCCAGTTGTACTTTTAAATAAAAATGATGTTCTGTGAAAAAAGTGATTGTTCAGTTCACAATTAAATAACTAATTCTTAAAAAAAAAAAAAAAAGAACTGTACTGCAGTCAGCAGAAACACTTCTTATTAATTTTCCACTTATTCAGAATATTAAAGAGACATGTCAAAGTTTAAAAACAACATTAATTTTTACTGCTTCATTAAAGACATTCTTAAGTAATTCAGGCTGTCTTTTTTATGGTAGGGGACAGTAAAGAATAGAATGACTACTAATGTAATTGGTACCACTGCCTTGATTTATGCTGAGAAACCAGCAGTTTACCCACTTTTGCTTTTATACAATCATGGCAAATGTCAACAAAAAAGCAGGCAATGACTTTGTATTCCTTTTACAGATTTTTAAATTTTTTATTCAGCTTTCTCAGGTATGTGTTGGCCAGGCACAGTGGCTCAGGTAATCCCAGCACTTTGGGAGGCTGAGGTGAGCAGATCACCTGAGGTCAGGAGTTCAAGACCAGCCTGGTCAACATGGTGAAACCACATGTCTACTGAAAATACAAAAATTAGCCAGGCGTGGGGGCAGGCGCCTGTGATCCCAGCTACTCAGGAGGCTGAGGTAGGAGAATCACTTGAACCTGGGAGGCAGAGGTTGCCATAAGCCGAGATCACGCCATTGCACTCCAGCCTGGGCAACAAGAGTGAAACTCGGTCTCAAACAAACAAACAAACAAAAAACAAACAAACAGTGTTGACCTCTTAGCCCTTCTGGAAAGGGTCTTGGGGATCCCGAGAGGTCCACAGAGCTCATCTGGGGAACCACTGGTTTATCATGTAGGCACAATGCATTAGTTTTACAAAATTTAAAGTTCATCAAAGACTGGCCTCTTAAAAAGGCAGATGAGTTTTTAATTCAAACAACAGAAAATACATAAGTACATCATGAGAATATACTACACAGAACTAAAGAGAAAGGAAGCTCGGAAATCTGAGTCACGTTTACATTTATTAAAGTTCATCACTACTGCTTTGTAAAACATTCTTGTGTTTCAGTGTGTGGTGTGGTTAGAAGAGTGAAAATATATTTGGTTTGTTGCCATTGCCTGTTAGGGAGAGTCAGTACTTATGGGCATTTCTGACTGGTTATCATATAAAAGACTTCACAGTACAGGACATGAAGTCCTCAGAAAGAAGAAGTCAGGAAACCCTCTGCAAGTCAGGATCCAGGAGAAAAATTTGTAAAAACTGCTTCGGTAAAGTAAACAGCAAAGCACACAGGAGGCAGTATTTTACTAAACATATGTGATACTAATATATTAACAGTTTTTGAAGTAATGCACATTCTTATTTTATAGACATGCAGATGGATCTTTGAGCATATTTGATGAACAGTTATACTCATTTACGGTAAGTGGCGCTTTTATTGAGATTGTATTTTCATCATACACTTGTATCTGTTTCATGCTGAAGTCAAAGGCATCTTTTTTTAAATCTTCCCCATTTCATGTTGTATTTAGTCATCTTAAGTGTCGTAAAAAGAATGTGCTGGAATAGGAACTGATCTACAGCTCTGTTTAGTTAGTGAGCTAGTGTGAGTAAATATACTATCCAAATAACTGAAAATGTATTTTTTTTTTTTTAATTTTTGAGACAGAGTCTCTTTCTGTAGCCCAGGATGGAGTGCAATCACACAATCTTGGCTCACTGCAGGCTCTGTCTCCCAGGTCCCTGTTCAAGCAATTCTCCTGCCTCAGCCTCCCGAGTAGCTGGGATTACAGGCATGCGCCACCGTGCCCAGCTAATTATTTTTTTCTTTTTTTTTTAGTAAAGACAGGGTTTCACCATGTTGGCCAGGATAGTCTTGAACTCCTGACCTCGTGATCCACCCACCTCGGCCGCCTTAAGTGCTGGGATTACAGGTGTGAGCCACTGTGCCTGGCACAGAAAATGTATCTTTTTAAAAGGTAATTGTGAGCTGTCTATAGGACCCTGCAAGTCATTACCCAATTCTCGAAGCCATTCCTTCTTCTGTTCCACACAGGTTTCCACCATGCACATTACCCAGACAAGAAGTGAAGGTGGGAGTTTTAGTAAGGATTCCTCCTCCATTCCATCGACTCCCAGCACCAGCCAGGAGGACCTTCAGATCAATGTTCCTCCCACTGCTGACACACCCACGCCCGTTCGCAAGCAGTCCAAGCGCTGGTCCAAGCTGTTTACATCTGAGAAAGGGAGTGACCCAGACAAAGAGAAGAAAGCCCCGGAGAGCCATGCTGACACCATCGGGAGTGGCAGAGCCATCCCCATTAAACAGGGCATGCTCTTAAAGCTAAGTGGGAAATGGCTGAAGAAATGGAAAAAGAAATATGCCACCCTCTGTGACAATGGCATGCTCACCTATTATTCAAGCTTAGGTGATTATATGAAGAATATTCACAAAAAAGAGATTGACCTTCGAACATGTACCATCGAAGTCCCAGGAAAGAGGCCACCCCTAGCCACACTGGCCAGTGCACCCATTTCCAGCTCTAAAGGCAATGGCCTATTCAAGGACATGAACAGTCTATGTACCTCAGCCAATTCAGACACCGGACTGGGTGACTCCATATGCTCCAGCCCCAATATCTCCAGCACCACCAGCCCCAAGCTCAACCCACCCCCCTCTTCTCATGCCAACAAAAAGAAACAACAAAGGAAGAAATGCACCAACAACTTAAAAGACAATGGCCTGTCTGGCACTGCTGAAAAACAAGCAGAAAACTTTATCATTGTGTCCCTCACTGGCCAAACGTGGCACTTTGAAGCCACGTCATATGAGGAGCAGGATGCCTGGGTCCAAGCCATCGAGAGCCAGATCGTGGCCAGCCTGCAGTCATGCTAGAGCAGCAAAAGCAAGTTCCGGCTACTTTAGACTAGCACAATGTTATTTACTAATAATCTTGATCCTTAGCTACATTTCTCTGCAATAAATTTGCTATGATGCCATGATGGGGATCAGCAAGCTACGTTTTCCAAGTTCCTTCTAGTGGGATCCTGCTAGGTTCTGCTATTGGGAGGTACTAGAGAAACATAGAAAGGCAAGAGAATGGAAAAATAGATCTCCTTTTCCTGTTTATTTGCTGTCCTTGCCGATGTTCTCCCAAGAACATCTCCTTGCCGTAGGAGCAGTAATTGTTTCAGTTTACCAGTTTTTTCAGAGCCCCAGAAAGTGCCTCTTCTGAGGTAACAGCAGCAGTTGGAACATATCTCTCCCTCAGAGATCTAGTCTCAGCCCAGGAAGGCTTTTACTCTGAGCTTTAATTGTAATAACTCCAATCTCTTCCCTTCATTCATTTAAGCTTCTGAGGAGGCCCCTATGTGGCCAGGAGATGGTGGTGATGGCTGCATCTTGCAGTCATTTTCTTTGCTTTCTACAGTGTTGTTACTTGTTTCTCCTATTTCCTATGTGGTCAATGTTTTAATATTAACTCATAGTCATAGTGTAGTATTAGTACTTTATGTGAAATGACATGTTTTTTATAATGTAGCCACGGCCTACCAATAGCATATTTTCTTTTAGATTTGGTAATATATATTTTGCTTCAGTGACTTTATATCGTTATTCGTTGCCCAAATTACTTTTTCATATACAAAACATCCAATATTACCTGGTCCCATCATTTCTTCTGATATCCATTGTCCTATGATTTCTCCTGGAAAGTGAATTGTTTATCCATCCATTTCAGTCTCTGAAGTCATACAGGTCTATCTATGTAGAACTCCTGTGCTGCAATTTATTCCCTGTGTGAAACTGGGCAATTCATTAATCTGGGAATATGTTTCTTCATATGCAAATCAGAGGTAACACTTACCTCACAACATTGTTTAGAGCATTAAAAGAAATATCATATGATGTCTTTCACACAGAATTTCCCTGGGTGTGAATTGAACAATGTCAGTTTTTCTCCCATTTAATGTGAAAACTGACTATATAAATAAACATATTGTAGAGGAAACACAGGCTCAGATAGGATATTGCCCATATCTCAAAATTAGTAAGTGATGGAGCTAGAATACAAACAAGATCTGCCTATTTACAAAAATCAATAATTTTTCCTCTGAAACAAGTCACTATATGCCTTTGGTTTTTAAGTGAAATGCACTCAACTTCACATTTTAAAATATGCCACAAATGTACCCATAAAGTAAGTGAACATGACTATTGAGTGGGATCACAATTATTAAAAAGTTTGCCTTGGGAACAAAGACAGTACAATGACCCTCAGGGAACTGAATTACATACCCAAAGGGCACATGTGCCATCTACCTGGGCTCAATGGGGGTTTTCCAATGGATTCTTTGTAAATAGGTGTTGCACATACTTCTGTGCCTTTAAGCTTTCCTTTATAACTTCCAGACCTACTTCTGATGGTGATGAGTTTCTTTCAAAACCTAACCCTGGATATGGGGTCAGCTTTAGGCAAAATTATGAGTTGCTAGCTAACAAAAGTAGCTAATATTTTAATGAAATGTCTTATTATTAAGCTAAATGCCAAACACTATTCATTACATGTATTAGTAAGTTATCACAATTTTATGAAGTAGACATGACCATTTTTAATTATCAGTTGAAGAAACTAAGACACAGAAAACTTAAATACTTTACCCAAAGTCATGTTGCTTGTGGAGAAGTTGCAATTCATCTTGGTTATCTTGACCTAGAGTCTGCGTGCTGGATGACTATTTTAGACGGTTACATGTGCATGCAGAGTTCAGTGCTTGTCTGGTCCCACTCCCTCCTAACCGTTCTGTCCCCTAGTGATTTCATCCTGTTCCCTACTTCTCAAGACTACTCCTCTTCTTGGACACTTTTTCATATTCCAGAACTAATCATTCTGTTTCTTTTCTTTCTGCTCATCATGCCAAAGGCAAAGTTAGCAGGGTAGCTGACATAAAGGAATTCATACTAAACAATGGCACGCTCAATTTGTAAAATTTCCCAGAGTTAAATAGGTAGAGTGAAAGGTGTAATTTCTTCTTTGAAGAAAACAATGTTGAATTTTACTTAAATGAATGATAAATATAATTTTGAGATGTATTTGCAATCTATATGAGTAATATATCCTATCATGCTTCACATTCTCACACTTTTATACCATTAAGGATCTCTACATCTGTCCCCAGTCAGCTACCATCTCTCTTCCTCAGCTGTTATGTCAGATCTAAAAATTAAATTTTAAAAGTAGTTCCTAGGTTTTAAACATTTTTAAATTTTCCTGGAAAATTTTCCTGGAAGGACATGATGAGTAACCTCATTGTCAGCAAATGCCTTAGGTATTAAGGAGAACAGTCCTAATGGCAATAGCTAATATTTTTTGGCAGGGCCAAGTTTTAGTATCTCTTTGCAACTGTGTGACAGCATGATGATATTCTTATTACAAACCTATGAAGTGGCTATCCACTTTATTTTAGTTTTATAGGGGAAAAGCAAGTCCTTAGAGAGTCTAAGTAACTTGGGTCTGGATTTGAACTTCAATCTAGCTATCTCTACAACTTGACCATTGAGCATTATACCACCTTATATGTCAAACTTACCTTGAAAAGCAACAAGCAAACCAAATAAATAAAACAATAAGAACAACCTATAATAAAAAGCCTTCTCAGCCGGGTGCAGTGGCTTACACCTGTAATCCCAGAATTTTGGGATGCTGAGGGAGGAGGATGGTGTGAGCCCAGGAGTTTGAAACCAACCTAGGCAACACGGTGTAATCCCGTCTCTACAAAAAAAAAAAAAACAAAAATCATATAGGTGGACATGGTGGTGCTCACCTGTGGTCCCAGCTACTCAGGAGGCTGAGGTAGAAGGATTTCTTGAGCCCAGGAGGCAGAGGCTGCAGTGAGTTGAGATAGTGCCAACTGCACTCCAGCCTCAGCAACAGAGAGAAACCATTTCTGAAAAAAAAAAAAAGAAAAGGACTTATTATCTAATTCAGTATATTCTATAATAATCAAAACATATCATTGAATGAATGGGGAAGAAAATTAGATCAACTGCTGTGAAGTCAACTTGTTTACTCCTGATCAAGAAACAGCAGCAGATTTTACCTCTGTGGTATTAGTAAAATAGATCTTTGCGCAGGGAGCGGTGGCTCACGCCTGTAATCCCAGCACTTTGGGAGGCCGAGGCGGGCAGATCACGAGGTCAGGAGATGGAGACCATCCTGGCTAACATGGTGAAATCTCGTCTCTACTAAAAATACAAAAAATTAGCCGGGCGCAGCGGCCTGCGCCTGTAGTACTAGCTACCAGCTACTTGGGAGAATGGTGTGAACCTGGAAGGCGGAGCTTGCAGTTAGCAGAGATTGAGCCACTGAGCTCCAGCCTGGGAGACAGAATGATTAAAAAAAATGTATATGTGTATATATATGTTTACATATATATATACACATAAAAATTTTTGCTTCCAAATATATATTTTAAATGTTTGATATATGGGGACACATCACAGTGTATACTGTCAAATTAAGTGAGTTATAAACAGAAGAGGAAAATCAAAATAGGAAAATTATAATAGCCTTAAATCTCTCAGTTGATATTAAAAATACTAAATTCTGGGCTGGGCGCCATGGCTCACACCAGTAATCCCAGCACTTTGGGAGGCCGAGATGGGTGGATCACGAGGTCAAGAGATGGAGACCATCCTGGCTAACATGGTGAAACGCCATCTCTACTACAAATACAAAAAAATTAGCTGGGCGTGGTGGTGGGTGCTTGTGGTCCCAGCTACTCGGGAGGCGTGAGTATGGCGTGAACCTGGGAGGCGGAGCTTGTAGTGAGCGGAGATCCAGCCACTGCACTCCAGCCTGGGCGACAGAGTGAGACTCCATTTCAAAAAAAGAAAAAGAGAGAGAAAAAAAAGACAAAAACTAAATTCTGGCAGCTAGGGTAAAATTAATATAAGAAAAGAATAGATACAGCACTCATTTTTTCTATACCCCCAAGTGTTTTAATTATTTCTATATTTGGAAATATATTCATAATCTATTAGTCACATTATTTGGAATTTCAAATTATGTTTCAAAGACTTGTCCTTTAAAAACATACGTTTGGATGAATAAACAAAGCAAACTTGCTATGACTTTCATGTAAACTACTTTATCATCCTATATTGCTCCATTGAGTTAGTGAGGTCAGGGTTTTGATAGAATGAGAACATTTGTAGAGTGAATTGCAGACATATTTGAAGGTTTTTAAAAATGATGTTGGCTTTGTCTAGGGCTGAGGGTGATGTTGCAGGGCAAGTGTAAAGGACAGAGTCACATAGAGACTCCTGAGAACTAGAAAGCAACCAGTGAGTCCCAGCATATGAAAGCAAGAAGGTGTCAGTGTAGTTCCGTATAAATTTAGTAAAACATAAAGCAAGCACTCAATTGTTTTCCAACACAATATGCTAATTGGAGTGGCAGAATTGTATGGCAGAAAGAACATATAAATGGCAAATATATTCACAACACTGTGCCAAGTGCAGTGAGAGGTACAGTGACATAAAAACGTGCATTTTCAGACATTACAGTCAGTTTGAGGATTTAATATATTCATCATGTACAGAGATCTAAAATTTCCTTGAGTATCTATTATGCATGCTGAATGCTAGGAAATGTGTGCTAAGTATTTTATTCTGGATTCTCTCAGATAAAACTGACCTCATAGCTCTGAGTTAAGTAATTCGATATTTATCACATAAGAAAATTAAAGTGCAAATGAGGAAATCGAGGTACAGACACATTAAGCAACTTGTCCACGACTATACAGCTGCTACGCAGAGCATCTGGGATTCAAATCTAGGAATGAGTGAAGAATTTTATTACTAATTGCATAAGTAAATACATATGTCTAACCCAGTCATATATTCTTTGTTAGGTCTATGACCCAATATTGTAAAAAATAATTATAGAATTAGATTTTCTGTTGAGTGCAAAATTTACTTCACAAAATTATAATTCTGTTGTTTAAATATTGAATGTATACTATGAATTATTCTCTAATAGTAGTATCTGTTTTAAAGTCACACATTGGTAAATATTGCCTTAATAATGGTTATGAGTCAGGAACTGTTCTCAGCACATGTTATATCAATGAATCCTTTGAAATAGTTAATGTGGTAAGTGTAGACCAAATCAACCGATAATTAGCTAAGCCTCAGAGGATTTGAGTACTGTATCTATATTTATATGGCCAGTGAGTAGAGAAGTTGAGTCTTAATCCCAGTGATCTGACAGCAGTGATCTCATTTGTGTATATGATTCCAGAATCACTGTGGGAGAATGTGAACCCATAGTTAGACAAAGCATAGTTTCCAGCAACAACTAGAGTCATATCTTGCTCTGGGAGTGAAGAAAATACGTCATGATAATTTGGTATTATTGTAATGTGAAAATCATAAGGAGAATAACTCACAAGAAAAATATTAAAAAGTTTTCTGAAGCAAGCTTCCCTTATAGCTTCCAGATTAATGTGCTTGCATATTCTAAGCAATGTTTTCCACAGACAGGTTTTCTATGTAAGCAGAAATTGGCTCAATTTAAGGAGGTACAAAGGATGGTGGAGTATTTTGTGTTGACTACAGAGGTTGGCTGCCATTTGTTAGTGCCGTAAAATTTTGTAAAGCTGCTCTGAGATTCTTTGAAATTCATTTATAACAACGAGACTGGATACTTTACCATCTTCTGCAAATGTTTCCTAGGAGATTTAGTAACTCATGTTCCCTACTTTCTGTAGTTTATTTCCATTCTATGATTGATTGCCTTTTGAAATAATTTCAACAACTGAATCTGTTTAATTTGTCTGGTTCTGAGAAAACATTAGCTAGATGACAAATTTAACAGTTTAGTCCAACAGGCTTTGAGTGGTATATATATGCATATGCTACTAAAGAAGTCGAGAAATTAACCCCAGGTCTTCAACATTAAAAAATGAAAAAGAAGGTAGGGGAGGGACTCTTGATAGCCACTTTGGTAATGAAGCAAAGTGAGAGAAAATATCATCCTGGAGCTCAAGGGTGAGTACACTTAATGGCAAAAGAAGTGAGAACTGACCACCTGCTCATCCACATGGTGAGATACAGACAAATACCTCTTCTTGAGAATGAATGAGTGGATATATGAATGAATAGGTGAATGAGCAAATGAAGGCCTATCTGTGAATAACTAAACTGGAAACCCAAAGTCAGTTTACAAGCCTCTTGAGGATTTGGTTATAACTTGAATATCTCACTGAGAGCTCACCCTTTATATGGACTTAGTTCATTTACTTTCCCATTTGTTATTGAAGGTCCTTAGTACTCTGCTCGAAGGCTGAATTCTTAAAAATATACTACCACCCTTAACAAAGAACAAAAAAAAATTTTTGGAGGTGAATAAGTATGTTCAGTACCTTGGTTGTGATGATGCTATTGGTGTATGCACACATGTCCAAACTCATCCAAGTGAATATATTAAAGGTGTACAATTTTTATATCACTTATACCTCAATAAAACTTCTAAAAATGATTTAAAACTGAACAGCAACAACAACAAAACACTTAGGAAACAACAGAAATTTCTGTCCCCGTTCTAAATGTTAATTTTAAAGATTTGACTAGGAATTTATTTTTTAGTGCAGAAACTTGATTTTTTTTTTCAAAACACAAACATTATAATACAGAGCTAGTTAAAAATCTACACATTTCCCTCCATAAAGGCAGAGGCACTCATGCAACAATCATCTTTAGAAATAGAAGTAAAACCACATGCATGATTTTTTTTGACTGTTTATGCATTAACAACATTTTTTGGTTTTAGCCTTGGAAATACATCAGAAATAGACCTCCTGACTGTGTTTGCATGGGTTCCTTAGAAATGACTTAAATATAAGCAAACCATATTACTTAAACAATGTTAAGCTATGCTGTAGCATTGTATTACTGCTTTGAGAAACGTATGTAGTTCAACTGAATATTGTAGCAGTAATTCATGTTCATAGAAAAATCAAAGGTTTTGACAAGTTCGAGACAGGTAGGGAAATAAAGGTCAGGCATTCTATTGCAAGTTCCCTATTCTAAACTGTAGTTCTTACAAATAGGCTTCTGAGGTCCCGAAGCTTTAGCAGGCCTCTTACATATGCCTTCATTGTCTGTTCTTTCAATGACATTCAGACATTTCTTTCTTTGTCCCTCCCATTGTGTCCGAGTCCCTCACACTGTTGAACTTGTGCTGCTCTCGCCTCTTCCTTCTGTCTCTCTTTTTAATACCCTGATGCAGCAGCAATGGATGGTGGGATGCATTTTGTTGAGCTCTCAAGGCAGTCAGAGTTCCACTTCAGTTTATGTAGCATCTGTTATAACAAGGTTAAAATTACAGAAAGTACATGACTTTATTCCCTTTAGCTGAAGGACAACAAAGGTAGATTTTCATATTTCCTGGTAAAGTGCTGCTTCAGAGAAAGCACATTTTGGTATCCACTTAATCCCAAGTAAAATGACTTGGTTCCTAATGTTGATTTTGCCATTAGCCTGCTGGCTTTGTTAGGTTATTTATTTTCTTTAAGCCCATCGACCCTTCAGTTAGTCTCCATTCTGCCTACTTGTTGGTGAAATTTAAAAGGCCTCCTAGCAGCTCCAATAGTTGCAGTATAGTAGAAACAAGCAAATACTCCTTTTTAAAAGAAAAAAATTCTATGAAGGTGAAAATACTTGGATTCTAAAGTGAGTCTGGACATTATCTACCAAGCGGTAATCAGTTATACTCAGACTTTTAAACTAAAAATACACCACAAGACCATTGCACACACCTACAAAAGTCCCAAGGATTATTGAAAAGTAGAAAGAAAAAAAAATAGTGGGAACTTCTTTTGGTTAAAATGCACATCTTATCAGGATTACCATAGTAACAGTAATTGTGATCTTTAGTTTGAATTTCTTTTCTGGAAATATAAAGTCTTAGGGAATTGTGATATAAATCCCAAGGCTAAAACAGGTGCCACTGATCATTCTAATGTTTATTTGATAACAGTCTTCCAAAATAGACTACTACTCTTATAAAACGGAAGGAGGAAGCTGAAAAGCTTAAGAAACCTCTGAAGAGCAGGCATTTCTAATTAGGAAGCTATAGGAGAACAGGCTTATGACTACCCAAAGCACTTAGGCATCTGATGTATTTTATGGAATGTCTTTCTCTTTTTCCTCATTTATCATCAAAGAGAGAACAAGTTTGATGATATTAAAACAAAAAGTAGTCTTAGTTGGATTAAATAGGCCTTCAAAGGGCTCTCTGACAGATACACTCATGAAATTATGACACAACTCTGCAAACTTACTCTATGTAAAATAAAAAACATGTAGGAGACACAAAATTCTAAGGGAAACTCAAGGATTTTCTAAGATTGCTTTACATAACTGCTTCTTTTTTTCCAAACTTTACCTTCTCTAACAACAAGCCATGCTATAACAGCATCAAGGGCTAGATAGTCCAATGGCAAGAATGCTGACAAAGGTAGTTGTATGAAAAAGAATGAGTCATATTTTGAGTGACAAAATGGTTAATATCTTCTTTCTTGCTTGTTTATATTGGCAATTTTTTCTATGTTTTAGAGGAATTGAGGATTAGGTTATGAGAGTATGATTTGTAAGAGTATAGGCAAATTTAACTCAATTCGTTATTGAATCTACAAAACATTGTGGAGGATATATAAAATTGTTACAATATGAATCTTATCCTCAAGGAATGTAATCGTTTTATTTCAGCTGGAGTTTTTTTACGACTTACAAGTAGCTTAACTTTTGAATGCAGACCTTAAACACTCTTTATGCCGAGTTTTATTTGCTTGGTTTTATTGTATGGCCGTGGTGGCTGTCACAAAATTTACCAACCCTAAATATTAGTATAGTCATACTTTCACTTATTACTTACAATTTATCACTGCTGTTTCCCGTGGGAGTGTGGCTGAGCAAAGTGTTTTGAACGGTGTTTACGCGTGCTTGATGCCTGCTCCTTTTGATCCAGGTGATCTAGAGAGCATTCTCACTGGGGCGGGGATGCTTGCACCTGTAACTTTACTAAGAATTCGTAAAAAGGCCAGGACCAAACTTCTATGTTTATGGGATTGTGCTGACCCATCTAGGCATTTTCAGTTCCTTGCTTTAAATAATTAAGCTACATTAACTGGATGAGAAACATTTGAGTGGTATTTTAAAATACTAGGGGAATTTCATGGTAGGATCTTGTTGGGTATAAATCTAAAGCAGTCCTTTACAGTTCGGGAAGTTTAGGGCCTTTAAAAAGTTGAATTAACAGACGCTTTCCCTGAGGGACCATTTGCAGTGGAAGTTACATTTGATTTAGGACTGTTAACATCTGCGATACACGCTTCTCAGACAGAGATACCTTAAGTATTACATAAGTATTACTTTGTCTGGAATTGGTGGGCTCTTGGTCTTGCTGACTTCAAAAATGATGCCACAGACCCTCGCAGTGAGTGTTACAGTTCTTAAACATGGTATGTCCGCAGTTTGTTCCTTCATTCAGGTGTGTCTGGAGCTTCTTCCTTCCGGTGGGTTCATGGTATTGTTAGCTTCAGAAGTGAAGCTGTAGACTTTCACAGTGAGTGTTACAGCTCTTAAAGGCAGCATCACCCAAACAGCTAGAAGCAACAAGACTTATCACAAAGAGCTAAAGAACAAAGCCTCTAACACAGCAAAGGGTACCCGAGACTGTTCCCGTTGGTGGCGCAGGCAGCCTACTTTTATTCCCTTATCTGGCTCCACCCACGTCCTGCTGATTGGTCCATCTTACAGAGAGCTGATTGGTCCACTTTACAGAGCGCTGATTGGACCGTTTTGACAGGGTGCTGATTGGTGCATTTACGATCCTCTAGCTAGACATAAAAGTTCTCCAAGTCCCCACCAGATTAGCTAGATAAGGAGTGCTGATTGGTGCACAGACAATCCTCCAGCTAGATATAAAAATTCTCCAAATCCCCATCCTACTCAGGAGTCCAGCTGGCTTCACCTAGTGGATCCTGCACCCGGGCTGCAGGCGGAGCTGCCCGCCAGTCCAGAGCAGCGCCTGCACTCCTCAGCCCTGGGGCTGTCGATGGAACCAGGCGCCACGGAGTAGGGGGCGGCGCCCTAGTTGGGGAGTCTCGGCCCCGCGGGAGCCTACCGCAGCGGGGGAGGTCAGACATGGTGGGCTGCAGGTCCGGATCGCTGCCTCGTGGGGAGACAGCTAAGGCCCGGCGAGAATTTGAGTGCAGTGCAGGGGGGCCGGCACTGCTGGGGCACCCGGCGCAACCGCCACAGCTGCTGGCCCGGGTGCTAAGTCCCTCAATGCCCTGGGTCGGCGGCGCCGGCCGGCCGCTCCAAGTGCGAGGCCCGCTGAGCCCGAGCCCGCGCCTGCTCCCGCGCCCGCCGGAACTCGCGCTGGCCTGTGAGCGCGGCGCAAATCCCCGGTTCCCGTCCGCGCTTCTCCCTCCACACCCTCCCCACAAGCAGAGGGAAGCTCCGCCTCAGCCAGCCCAGAAAGGGGCTTCCATAGTGCCATGGCGGGCTGAAGGGCTCCTCAAGCGCGACCAGAGTGGACGCCGCCTGAGGAGGCGCCAAGTGAGGGCTGCTAACACGTTGTCACCTCTCATTAGGACGGAAATTTAGTTAACATATAAATAGGAGAGTTTACTTGGTTGGAGAATATTAGAATTTTTTAGAAAATTCCGTTAATCGAGGGGCCAGGATTGTTCATGGTTAAATTATGATTTTTGGGGCTCTGACTAGGTTCAATTTAAGTACCTTGTTTTCGGGGGTTGGCAAGAGTACCTCTCACCTAATTTAACAATAAAGTCAGAGATGGGGGGAGGGGAGATTTGCGGTTTTAATCGGAAGCAGTCCTTTAGTGCGTGAAGGTAGGTGTGTGCGTGAACTTACGTGTGCGTGAACGTACGTGTGCGTGAACGTACGTGTGTGTGTGAAATGTGTATTGATTTTTATGCCCTTCGAGCATGAATGAACACCTTATGGTTGGGTATGTTGGTTCAGAATATTCAAGATAAGTCCAGCTACAATCGATTCCGCAGGGATCAGGCTCCTACCATGGTAGGTGGCAGCATCCCGAAAATTTAAAAATACCCAATGCACGACAGTGCTCCCGTGACTAGTTACTAGGGTGATAGTCACTAGTACATTGAGATATAAAGTTTGCAAATATTTTCTCCCAGTTTGTAGGTTGCCTCTCCACCCTCCATCCTCCTATTTCCTTTGCTCTGCACAAACTTTATAATTTTAAGTAATTCTGTTTATCTATTTTTGTCTTTATTGCCTCTGTTTTTGCTGTACAAACTAAATCCTCAAAAGCCTGTATCATCATAGTTAAAAGATTTATTTTGATAATATTCCAAACGGTTTAAAATGCTTTCTTTGTTTGACATAATGGCATCAGATATAACATGGCATAATGTCATACTATCACTCTTTTTCACTTAAAAATCAAAATGTAAAAATTATATCATGGCTTACTTTTATAATACCTTGAACATTATAAAGTGATTTTCTATCTCTTATTACATTTTATAATAACCTATGGGATAGCTGGAGTAGATATTATTTTCTCTGCCTTACGTGTGCCAAAAACGACAGAGAGAGAGAAGTGAAGTGATTTTCCCCATATTACAAAGACACAGTGGTGCAGAGCTGAAACTTCACTGATTATTTGAAATACTTTACAGTTTTTCTAAAACATAGTGAGATCTAGGACTTAGTGTTATACCCAGCCCTGTTTGAAAATTTCTCAGGATATTGGTTCATCCTTTATTAAAATGAACAAACAAAAAAAGTAGAATCAAGTTAAGAAAAGCAGAATGTTTTGGTAGGATTAGGATCTCAAAATAATTGTCTGAAGCCAATAAAGTGTTACATTATTTTTCTTGCTTTATTTTTAATTCTATAATTTTTGCTGTGTCTGTATGGTGGTGTAATAACCTGAGAAAGACAGTTCTAATCACACATGTACTAATCACAACCATTCAACATAATTTTAGAGTATAAGATTTAACCAGGATGTAAATGTAAAAGTTCTTAAAAGTATTCAACTTCTGTGTCTATACTTAAGACTCCATCTCTAGGTGTCTGTTGATTATGCAAGTAGAATTAACAATAATTAATTTATCAACCTAATCTTTAAGCAGTGCAAGCATTATTATTAGACTTTCTTAAATGGGCACTATAATACGTATCTTGATTGAGCTTATTTCATAGAAGAATGGTATTTCTAACATTATTTTAGAGATTTTTGATATTCAATCTCAAATGTTTAATATATTTTCCAAAATAAATAAGGATGAGCACTAGCATACTCTTAATATTTACAGGAAAAATGTAAACAAAAACACTTGGATTTCTAGGTTCCTTTAATAATCTCAACGCCAGGATGAATTCTCTAAGTCCGAAAAAATTGCCATGACTTGGTACTAAGATCAGTATCAATTCAGCCATTATTTCTTTTAAAAAAATTAACTTAAATAAAAGTTGCATTTACCATTTTGTGCAGTGGTTCTCAATCCTGGTTATCCCTCTACAGTTTTAAAAACTACTGATACCTGGGTCCTTGGCCTAGTGATTCAGCATAAATTAGTCTCACATGTGGCTTTGTTATCAGGAGCTTAAACAGTTTTCCAGTTTATATTAATGTGCAGCTGAATTTGAGAACAACTGCTTTAGTCTTTTGAAATGAGGCCAGGTGTACATATAAGGCCTTACTGTGCAAAGCTTTAAATTTGGGGGACATTTTGGTCATATAAAGCTGGTTAATACAGATGAAGTTTAAAAGAAATAGACTCTCACTTACCAGATATACTGATACTCTGCAGGAATCACAATCATTTTGAGATAATTAAAAATAAGAGAAAAATAAACTTCCTGAATGTTGACTTTATAATTACATGGTCTACATTTCTCACAGTATACTGTCTTGATTGATGGTTAGAATAAAATTCCAAAGAATCTGAAACTTAGCATACAAAATTATATTTGTATAATTTTTATGTTCAACATATTTCAGTGAAATTCAGTGATTAAAAATTAATTATCCATGGATGATATATATGATTATTCTATTGCCAAGACTGTTGCATTAAGTAAGGCAGCTCGTTCCCAACAGATCTGGAGATCAATGTTGCAATCTGAAGAAGGTTTTTAAAGTCAGTATTCTTAGGTACAGATATCATTTTGTTATAATCTCCATATTATTGCAATTCAGTTCTACAGAAGATGTTTCTTGTCACATCACCAGTCCAGTGACACTGGTAGAGTGTATCAAGGGAAATGTGAATTGTCCTTTTAAACTTCCAAACCAAATAATAGAGTGAATTGATTTATATTTCAACCTTGACTATGAAACACATTAACAATTATGATCCATTGTAAAAATTCTGTTTTTATACATTATAATTTACTGAGACCCATTTAAAATTCACATAACATTTGTTTGAGTTGGACAGTGTTTACAATTGTAATTTTTGCAGCCTTGAAAACGCCAAATGTGTTTGATTAATATCAGCTTCCTACAGCCACACCTGTATAATATTTATGTCTCTCAGTTACTATTTGTGGTAATTAGCGAATTTTCCATTGCAATTAACCAACTTCAACCTCGAACATTGTCTGAGATGCTTAACTTTTTACTTTTTTTCTTAGTTGAAATATTTTAATTATATTTTACTTTGTGATTTTAGTTTTCCTTTTATCTTCTTGGAGTTTAACCTCAATAAAATTTTGAGTTGGTTCTTACTTATTTGCGTCAAACAACTCTAAAATGTAATACAAATTATTATCACTCTATCTACATGGAAAAACATTGTTAACAAACCTGTGAATGACTTAATCATTTCAACAATTAAGATATTTACACACATTTCTTCTAAAAAGAATGGTTAAAACTACCTGTACATTGGAAACATATTTTCACATAAATTTGCTCATTATTATTTGTATTTATATTGTGCAAATTATGTCAGTAGCTAGAATGAGTTGGATTTGACAATAGAGAAAAGGTGGTTCCATATCCCAGACTCTTAAAACACACTTTTCAATTTAGGTCACAAGCACTCAAAAGATATGTGTGTGGTCCTCATATCTGGCATCTAATTCCTATGAGTTTCCTTCAGTTAATACTAAATACATGTATATAAACTGCCATAAACTGAGCTGTATGATGGTAATAATCCCCAAATGATGATTCAATCATCCAGATCTTTGGCTTGTCCTAATTCCATTATACGAGGTGGATCTAATGGTCATTAGATCCCTAGATATCAGGGATCCCTAGAAAAGTGTTTTCTTAATCTTAGATAATAGTTTTCAATGCTTTGGTGAAAATTACTTATGTAACGCTTCGATTTTAATCAGTGTTTGAAAATGGCTCGCTCAATGGTTGATAAGGTAAGTCATCACACAATACTTCTATAGTGTACAAAAAAAAAAGCTAAAACAGTAATTAGTCTTAATATATGTTAGGTATTCAGTACCTCTTATTTCCAGATGTATACAATAAATTCCTTTTATATCTTAGAGCTAAAACCAGAGAAAAAATTATCTCCATAAACCATGCACTCTCTTTTGTCAGATAAAGAAAAAAGTATAATTCATCTTTATCTTCTCTGATCTATTATGTTGACTTTTATTTTTGATTTTAAAAATTGAACTTACTGATTTTTTCTTGATATATAAATTATACATGTTCAGTGTGTATAGCATACATTAAAAATTGTTAAAAAACACCTATAATCTCAGCAAACAGAAAATTTACTTTATTTTGTTGAAAATGTTACCTAACAACATTTTAGTTTTCCTAAATATCAGAACTGTCTTGTTAGCATACATTTTCAAAATAAATTTTATTCTATCTTCTTTAATAACATATCAGTTTTTCCTTTATATGTATTTTGAACATATATTTGGGTCATTAAATGCTATGTTAAAAGTCTGGATTTCATTTGTTAGTATTCCATAAC